CTTGGCACTGGCAACCGAACCACGACGACGGTTCATCTTTGTTACAGTCGTCATCAAGGCCATGCACCGCTGTCCTTTACTCATTCCGATTGTCTCAAACCATCTCGAATCCTTGCAAGTACACCCTCCCGAGGGGCAAGCAAGCAACAAACACGCCATGAGGCCTGCAGTTTTCTCAGTAGCTGAGAAGACGGCCCTTCCCCAGTATTACCTGCGCAGGCATCACTCGATTGTCACCCGGCTTTGAATCCATTAGCATAGCTTGGAATGGGGAATCTCATCTCTAGGGGTCCGAGTGTCTCATCAATTCAACAACAACACAGAGAGAGAGAGAGAAAGAGAGACACAGAGAGAGAGAGCGAGAGATAGAGGGGAGGGAGAGAGAGAGAGAGAGAAAGGCAAACAGATAGACAGACAGGATCACGGCAATCCATCATATCCATTCCTGCTGTATCTTGCGCATTCTTGTGCAACGGCGTCGTCACCATGCGTTCAGCATATTCGCATTGGAGATGTTATCGATGAAACCGCAAGTATTTTGTGTGCCGCTTTCAGAGGCAAAAAACTTAATGAGGTTTAACGTTTCCGGTTCACCGTACTCAACAAACGTTCCTGCAGCCATAATCCCGTGCTCCGTCGGCATCGTAATATACCAGCTGTAAGGAACACGAGCTCTGCATACAGAAGCAGTGGCTACTGCGAAACTTCGGTAAAGCCTCTGGTGCCATGAAGAGCGGCGTCCCCTTCACCTTCGAAGGAACATGAAGGAACACCGTCAGGTAAGCAAAGACAAATCCGGCTACGGCCTAAGGTCACATCCTTGAAACCCCGGCGAGGCTTCAGATTAATCAAATGGTCTCATGCACCGGACATCTGGCTGGGGTGCAGGCAGCATATATGCGACCATCGGTAATCTGGCACAGTCCGCGTTCGTCGTGCAAGTGGGGAAAGCAAACTCATCAGTTACGGCGCGCACCCGCTCGGCTACTCCAAAATCAATAATCTTCAGGTAGCCATGCTGGTCGATGAGGCAATTTTCCCCTGCAGGTACAGGAGAGTGCGGCAGCATGTTGTTGCTAGGGCTGAAGGTCTGGCCTTTGAGATCAAGATACGCTATCCTTCGCTCATGAAGGAACCTAACGAGCGAAAGACGAGTAGAAAGGGCGCCCGTGCAACGGAGCTGATGTTCACAGCAGGATTCATCGAGCACCCGGCTCCAAAGCCAGTATGATTGACGCGGAATAGAACTGTGCCTGGCATTCCATCCAGATCGTAGAAGGTTCCCACTCATAAAACTTCTCGAGCCGCCTGCGGTGCTTGGAGAAGGCCTCGCAATTAGGGGGTCAGACGGGCACGGCAGCAGAGCACGTCATCCAGCCTAGAGCATCCAGAGCGTCCAGAAGCTCCCCTCCCGTCACCTGAGGTGCTCCAGCAGAACTCGGACCACCGAACACATCCGGTGGACTCACACGATGCTCGAATCAGGTGAATCGGCAAGGCCACGTCCCAATATGTCCAAAGCTGCTAGGGGCCCTTGCGAGTTCCGTGAGGAAGTACACATGCCGAGGACCTGTCACAGTCTTCCCCATGGCGGCCAGCAATCATGATGGCCTGAGCTGCGTGCTGTTGAATGAGCGCACGAACTTGATGATGAAGGGGTGGTCCTCACAAGGAACACCAAGAACAAAGCGAAGCGAGGAGATGGCATCTTGCTTCCACATGATAGCACGTGCGTGTCGGTCCAGTTCTGCTAGGATGTTTCTCTCATGCGCAAGCGCCTTTTGCTGCTTCTGCTCGACCTTGCTATCAACTCGGCAGCTCAAAGACTGCATAGCAACGCACGACAACACCAACCTAGACCTTGCGTACAGCCCGTTAGAAACCAGAGTAAGCATGCAGCAGCCTGCTTCTTGCTGACGCATTTCAAGGCATACCTACGACCCATGAGTTCACTGCAAGTTTTCTGGAGCAAAGTTAGGCAAGGACATTGCCTCGTGTCGCTGGTCTTCGACTGGACCTGGGCAGATTTTCAGTCCAATCAACTGTAACATCAAGATTGATAACACCTCAGACTCGGAGAGCGGTTGGTTCTGCACTTTCTGGGCTCGCAGCCATCTTTACAACTCCAAATCCTCCTCTTCCGATCACGCGAAGGCACGTCAAGGAACTTGGTGGCACATGTCAACATGTACGATGTTGCGAATGTGGCCAGAACAGCCCCGCAAAGCCCTCTCAAGAAATCGTCTCTTCTTCCGCTGGGCCGCTAGACACGGAAGCACCTGGCATGCCTAGGATGCAGGCTTTAGGTCGATCTTGGTGTTCTGGAGGCCGATTCTCGCCTTCGGCACCCCGCATTGGCCCTACGTGTACCAGAATGGGTTAGAAAAGTCTTCCCCTGGAGTGCCTTCATGTATTCCAGGATCGGACCCTGCACAGCCTGGCATGAGCCAGGGTATGGCCGGGCAGTTTGCAAGAAGCCCTGATCAAAGCCTGGTTGAAGTCATCCAAGTCCATCATCCAAAGCTCACAGTCCTTAAGGAACTTCGGAGGGCGCTGCACCAAGAAGTCCAAAGCTGCTCCGCCTCTACGACTTTGACCGTTGCAGTGCGAGGGCCATCAAACAGCAGGGCTCTTTCACCTTGCCATCAGCTGCGACCCACCGCTTTGACTTGTCATGGGCACGTGCCACCACTCAGGATGCTACCGACATAGTCTCCCATGCCAAGCGTGCGCACCTTGCGGCCGTCTATGGACACCTGATCTTATCAATGAATCAAAGAAATCAGGCTCGATTGGAAATTCGCAAGTGAATGTGGGAGACGCTCCTCCAACAAGCCCGTATGGATGATGTAGAACTCCTGGCCCTTTTCACCTCGCGAAAAGCCCAGTGCTGCTAAGTCATTCATGTTCCAAACAGAAGCAGCCCAGGACAAAGCCACGCACCTTGGTTGAACACTATCTGACCCGGCTTCATCTTCTTTACCTGGCCAAACGGACAGGTGGGGCTAAAGCAATTAGAAGCTCAGGCTATCAAACTATCAAGCCTTCAAGTGTTCGAGAGGAAAGCTTTCAAAATGCTGGTGCGCTCCAGGGAGCATGCTTAGCCCTGCCACCTGCCTCCAATGCTTCGGCTAGCCTGTGGAGTTGGTCCGGCGCCAGGGTGCGGAAAACCACGACTTTCCGCAAAGCCCCGACCTCCGGCCACAGGCAGATCTGCGATGCTCTCTACGTGCCGGAGCTTTCTCGGCAACTCTCAGTCGCTTTGCGTTGTGCAATTTTAGAGATACAGGGCTGTTGCGGCTGTTCTCCATCCGGGCTGCGCAGGACCGGGCTACATGTCTGACAGCCGATGCCAAATTCTCAGAAGCACAAAACGTCCCCACATGCACATGCACAGGGTCAGAGCTCCCGGCCTTGTCATCCGACAGTACAGCTAATCTCATGGAGGGTGACCGTGCGCGGTTCTGGCGTGGCAGGCGTCGTAGTATGTCGCGAAGTGGGATCGAAAGCAGCACTCGGGTTGCTCAGGTGCCCAATTCCCACTTTCTCGAAGATCGCTGCACCTCGCTGCTGGTGCTCATGGGCGAGATGTCTGGACCTTGGCGCTTGGGAAATGCGGCGACTTGCTGCCGGCACCCGTATGAGGCTCCAGCTGGAACTGACGCGCTTTTTTCGGCGGACGACCTCCAAGAAGCCTGCCACCGGACGGCCTGCAATCAAGGGCGCCGTCTCGTGATCTCACATGCTCTGTCTAGCCCGTTTTTCAGATGCTTCAAGCCAGGAACCCACTGCCCCAATGTGTCCTTTTGCATTCGTGACAGGTTCAGCTGTCACCTGTCGTCATCTTCATCTGCAAGGGCTACAGCATGCACCGATTGGCGAAGCAGCTCTGCCTTCAACTGCAATTGCTATCATCTGCAACTAGCGCTGCTGTAGACTACATGCACTGCCCTGTCTGATCTGTCTGAACTTTCGAAGCTGGCCGATTTTGCAACCAGAAATCGCCAAGACATGATTGAACAAACAAGTACATGCCACATCTCACAAGCATGTTGGTGTTGCTGAATCTCTCGCACACCCAAACAGAGGCAAGCACGAACAATCTTCCACTGAGTCTGTCATGAACCTCTCGTGCAAAACAGGCTATCTTACAGTTGGCATCAGCCTGCATTGCAATTCACAGCGACCTTCTGTTTGTGCGCAGCCGTACCCGTGACTGTGAACTATGATATCACAAGCACTCAGGCGTGGTTCTGCAAAGACTGAGGTAAGAAGGGCACAGTAGGGGCACGTGTGTCTGCGAACACTCGTGCATCACAGGATGGTAGGGGCATTTACTTTGCCATGCTGGGAGTGGAGGATGTGACTCGGTGTGCTGACAAAGCGCTGGGTCTGGTCCGGGTGCGTGGTGCGGCGTACCATCTTTCAGCCATCGTTCACCGATTCGTGGTAAGGTCGCAAACCCGGGCGCGTCTCCCAGGTGTTGCGGATGTGAGGGCATTGGCCCAGCCCGATTGCAACGTCTTGGCCCATCTGCGTCGGGCCGCCGTCTTGCGAGCTCGAGCTGTTGTTTGGTTCCGCTCTCCACCAGTCCACCATGCATTTTGTAGCGACGGGCAGAGGTGAGTGCTGCGCCCTCTCCCCACAGAAGTGAGGCTCGTGACTGGCTCGTGTCAGTGGTGGCAAAACATGCTCAGAGCTTGCAGCTTCTGCTGTATTGCTTAGCTTGCAAGGTTTACGCCGCTAAGGGCCCAGGGCTCCGCCTGACCAGAGTGCCAATTTCACCGGCTGCCTCCTGCGAAAGAATGCAAACTTGCAAGGTGAGCTTGGGTGATCCTTATACAGAGCGAACAACTGAGGATCTCACGCCGTTGTTGCGAGTCTTAGCCTGAGCACAGGTGACCTGGTGCAGTGCAGGAAGCCGAGACAGCTCCACTCGCCTGCGTTGCCACAAGCCGCACCTGTCCCCGTCCAAGTCCGCATCTTCCGGATAAAGAACTTCGCCTGAACAACTCGGGAAGCCCCCGCTGCCCAGCCATGTACGAGTGTCCCAGGCACATCCAGTGCCTCTGGCACTGAGCTGAACCGGAGGGCGGACCTCGAAGCACTTTGCTGTGGCCTCGCCTGTAGCCCTCCTCCGCATCGCCTTGGACCTGGAGAGCTGAGCTCTGAGCATTTCCGTCTCTGTCGACCAGCGCTGCCTCGAAGGACTTCAGGGCTGCTTTGAGAGATTAGGAATTCCTGTAGAATTCATGCATTTCTATCTGCATTATACCTCGAAATTTTTCTATCTTTTGCCGGAGCCCCAAACGCGCAGCCGCCTCGGCCTGGCCGGCCAGGCTGAAGCCCAAACGGTAGCTGGACCTGACGCGCGGCCCGGGAAGTCCTGGCTCCGCGAGTGCCAAGCAGAAGAAGTATTGCGCCTTTCGATGGTGGAGCCCGGCTGCAGATCGATGACCTGCAGTGCACCATTGTAACCCATGTTTCCTATCCGCCTTCACTTGGTGCACCTCGCAAAGGCTCGCGAGGCCGTCCAGCTGGTCCACACGCAAGTGGATCAGATCCTGCGATTTAGAACTCTATCTTTCGCGCGTTAAGCAAAATACGGCACGGCGGCCGGGTTTCAATGCGGAGCTCTGTAGTGTGGGCACGCCGTCCAGAAAGCCGACCACCCTCGATCACATTTAAGGAGGAGTGCCGTTGAAAAGTCTAGTAGCGTTCTGGTGTGCTAGTCGGCCTGGGATGTTTCTGGGATATGCAAAAAAATCGCAAGCCGTCCTCCTGTTGTCTCAAAGTGTCCAGGATCCGTGATCGGATCACTGTCTCCTCCAAGTTTGTGCCGAACCTTGCAAACTACTGCAGAGCTCCATGAGTGGTGACCTTCCGATGCCACTTATGACTTATGCATCACTACGACGCACATTTCTTACATTCTATTATTCCAAGAGCCTTGGGCCAAAAGAGTAGGAGCCACAAGCTTGCTCGCAGCAGTACCAGCAGGTACAGCCGGCTGTTGTCAGTGCTGGTCGTGGTAAGCGGGATGGGAAGGGAGCAGTTAGGATCGCGGAGCAGGAGCTCGTCGTTGTGGTGATGGTGATATCCATGTGATATCTGATAGAGACCTGCTATGCTAGGACTAGCAGCAGCGGCAGCGGCAGCGATAGTGGAAGCACCAGCATCAGCAGCAGCACCCGCACCCACACCCGCACCCGCACCAGCACCAGCACCCACACCAGCGCAAGCACCAGCACCAGCACCAGCACCGCCAATACCAAGACCAACACCAACACCAACACCCCACCACCACCACCACCACCGACGACGACGACGACGACGACAACAAGAACAAGAACAAGAACAAGAACAAGAACAAGGTAGCTGTTGCGTCTGCTGCCGCGGAGGTTGTGTCGTTTGTTGTTGATGTTTTTGGTCAAGCGCCTGACAACCTCGATTTTTGTGTGGTTTTCGTGAGCGTGAATCAGAGGATGTTTTGCCGCTTGGTTGTTTACATGTTGTTTGTTGGTTGTTTTTGGTGTGTGTGTTTTGCGAAAGTGTCGCAACTACCGTGGTGTTCGTTGTTGTTTTTGCTTCAGTGTTGTGTTCATGTCGTAAAGTTGTTTGAGAAACCCACAAAACGCGAGACTTTTCTGGTGAGAGCGTCTGACAAGTAACAGGAACACAGCAGCAACGGGGAGCAACATTGTCATTGTCATTGTTATCATCATGGTGACCGTCATCGCCCATCGTTATCCTCTGCACGAACAAGC